AGAGAGAGAGAGAGAGAGAGAGAGAGAGAGAGAGAGAGAGAGAGAGAGAGAGAGAGAGAGAGAGAGGGAGGGAGGGAGGGAGAGAGAGAGGGGAATAGTGAATTGTAACAATGTTGTGTTGTATGCTGCAGGTTTTTCCTGTTGGTGGTTGCAACGATTTCAGTTGAGATCTCAATGCTATTGGATGAGGTGGCCAAGGAGATGTCTGATCCATCGGCCAGCATCGAAGAGCAGCAGGCATTCATGCACAAATGTTTTATCCTGGCTGATTGCTATGTTCTGCTCGAAAGGGTGATTGAGGTTATGTCACGAACATCAGCAGAGCGAGACAATGTGGAGGACGAAGATGACATGGTGGCTGACGAGCAAGGAGGTAATAAAGAGTGAACTCAGTGAAGAATCGAAATGTAAATCCGCATGGGGGGGGGGGGGGGGGGGGGGGGGGGGGAGAAGAAAAAGAACTCAATTTCCTTTGCTCAATGTGTACAAGAGCAACCCGATTCCGAGAAGAACAACCATTCAGATAAGGAAAAGCTTAGAAGAAGCTGGATTGTCGTACTACTCTTTTCTCAATCCAATCAAGTTAAGCAAAATTACTAAATTAGCAAACTGTTTTTTTTTTGTTTTTCTTATCTATGCTGATTGCTGCCTTAGGCAAAGTTGCAAGCCCGTTTTAGTGATGAATTCCAAATTGATTTTAATTATTTGAATTCTGGTGGGGGTCTGGTGGAGGCATTCAAATTCAAACGCCTCCGCCAGGCATTCCTGCTTGGCTCCTCATTTCCTCGTTGCATTGTTGTCTCTTTCGCCTTGTCATGGCTGCCGTCATGCGCCTCTGCTCCCAGCGCCATTGTGCCCCTGCTCTGCCCCTGCTCTGTCCCTGCTTGTCCTCATGAGCATCATCAACCGGCGCCTGCCTACGATGAGGACAATGGCGCCGGCTCATGAGAAGAGAACGGAGTAACTAATCTTCTTCTTCATTGTTCTTCATCTTGACTCTTCTTCTTCTTGTGCTTCTTCAATCGTCTAGTTCACCACTTCTTCTACCTCTTCATTCTTCACTCTTCACTCTTCTTCTTCTTCTTCAATTGCCTAGCTCTCCATTGTTCTAACTCTTCATTCTTCTTCTTCTTCGTCTTCGTCTTCTTCTTCGTCTTCGTCTTCGTCTTCGTCTTCGTCTTCGTCTTCGTCTTCGTCTTCATCTTTGTCTTCGTCTTCGTCTTCGTCCTCTTTTCTTTGTTTCGTCATTCACACACACACACACACACACACACACACACACACACACACACACACACACACACACACACATACTAGAGCCAATTGGTCAAGACCGCAATGAGTCTCCTTCACCTGTGCAATCTGCAGAATCGAACGAATCTCCAGCACAACCCGCGGAATCCAACGATGTCATAGCGCTACAGCGAGGCCGCTGTGCGTACTATGCCATCAATGCATGTCTCCTTGCC